GCTGCCCTGATTTTTAGTTCATGCCTGAAAGGAGATAGTTGCATGTTATCCTAGCCCCCCACCTGCAACACTCCACCTAGAACCCCCTGGCCTCTGCCCAGCAATAACACAGCTGTTTCTGGGGCAATAGCCTCTAGGCTGGAGAGGAATGTTTGCATGAAGAGAGCTGGCATTTGAGGGTGTCTGGCTCGACCAATGGCACGGCAGAGGGCGTTACAGAGACACTGGGCTGCCGGGTCTCATCTGGTTCCCCCCTTTTCTTTTCTTTGTCCCTCCTCTTGCAGCACAGGCCACCGGGTTTCTTTCTCCTCCTTTAAGCCGATTTCCCTTGCAGCACAAAGAGGCACTCTGGAGAGCTGGAGGAGGAAACACTTGGCTTTGTAATGTGATCTGAAGATGAAGCTTTAATGGATAATAACTTGCTGAGCGAGGGTGTTGAAAGGTAGCTCCGGGTCTAGTTAGTTTTTATCAAACAGGAATGAACAGATTTGGCCCACTGTGCAGAGAGCTGGCATGATGATTAAGTTATACTACCATATATTAAGAAGAACTTTTTAAAATGAAGCATTGGTTCCATTTCTTAAAAAAAAAAAAAAAAAAATTTCTTTAAAAAAAATAAAATAAATGATTGGCATCTCTCATCCATGGCTGTCTGTCTGTCAGCAGGACCTAATTTTGCAGTAAAGTTCATAGATGCTAAAAGATGGCGACCGCTGATAGGAAAATAAAGGGACTCTCTCAGTGCACCATGTGTGAAAACCGCCGTAGAGCTACAAGTTCCCGCTTTTCAGTCTTTCCAAATGCTGACAAATTTCAAGTTTCATTTTTGTGAAATCCGCTTTCTGTTCCCAATTTCATTTTCCAATTTTGCACATCCAGATTTACTCTGATTCACTTTAAAATCAGTTTCTAGGGTTAGGGCATAGAGCTTGAGATCCTGAGGTTATGAGTTCAAAACCCATTCGCACAGACTGCCACTCTGGGTCTCTGAGCAAGACCTTTAACCCCCCGATTGCTCCCCGGGTGCCGCACAATGGCAGCCCACTGCTCCCCAAGGGGAGGGGTTAAATGCAGAGGTAAATTTCTCCAATGTGAGATTAATAAAGTTCAATTAACATTATTATTATTATTATTATTTTTATTATCATTTTGCTGTGGTTTTAGACTAAAAGCTTTAGTCTGACCCAACCAGAGTATGTTGTTCTACAGTATACTTTTACAAACGTGCATGAACTGATGCATTTTAAGGCGTTTCATATAGTTTTTGCTTTCCAGTGCTATTCTTCCATGTTTTGGAGTTAACGACTATAATGTTTTCATTTTCATCATTTCTCTCAGCTGTGAATAGAGAGTTACTGTGAGCCTCTTTGCATTTCTTGAAGCTGGTCAGTTTAGGCAGGTTGTCCCCCCTCCCCATTAACACCACCTTTCACTCCCAGAATTTTACATATCTCTACAACCTCACCCCCCCACCCCGTTTTGACCCTTTATTCACCTCAGACATCTTTTGTCGGAGCGTTAACTTATCTACAGCTAAGAGGTTAGATATACAGCAGAGTTTATTCAGTTCCATTTGATTTCTATGTGCATTTAAAGAAAAAAATAACCCTAAATATGTGAGATACGTTTTATATATATCTGTATGGAGTGAATTTTATTCCTTTATTGTTGGAAGCAAAGAATACATTTTGTAAATGGAAATAAAAATTAAAAGCAAGCCAGAGATGAAACTTGGGGAAAAACAATGATGTAAAAAAAGTTTGAAAAATATTACAGCTGAGAAAAAATAAATAAATAAA